CTAGTGCAGTGTTGTTATCAAATTAAATAAAATACTACAAGAATCTCCGTGTCACACTCGATTCAGAGATACTGTATTTTTCTCTATCCTGTACCTGAGTGCTGCATTAACTTCCTTTATGTGAAATGACGATAAATTGGTGGGACAGAGAAGTATGTCGGAGCTGTTGTTTACAAACGCAACTCGCATTGGATTGGTCAAAATAATGCGCTATGTTTGTTTGATTCATGAAATAAAATTTAGGCCTGCTGATTGGTCAATACTGTAATAGTGAGTTCTAGTTTTGTCAGAGGTTTAACGATATTCATGGTCGGAGCCATACTAGCTGTTATTGATATTCCCATACAAACTTTTAATCATTTGCATATTTCACAAATAACACGCAAACACCGACCTCTCTGACACTCCATGAGCCTCACAAACCTCCCACCCGCCAACACAAAGCGCGCACGCGAGAGCGCGTCTTGTTCTTTTAAGGCTTTCCTCAATGAGGAAGGCGTGACATGGGAGTACCTGGAGGTGTGCATGAAGCGCGACAACGCTGCTACCGTGCTGGAGGCAGTGGTAGACAAGTTCGGCATGCATTTAGCTTTCCAGAAAGGCGGCAATGGCCAGCTTTTGGCTAGACATTCGGTGATGCAGTACTACTAGGGTTGGAAAGTAGGCGCCTAAAAATACTAATTAGTCCTAATTAGGCTAAATAGACGTTTTAGACATCCTACTTTTCGTAATTAGTCCCTAAAAATAAAACTTTTCTTTACAACATTGTGTGCAGCACATACATTTTAATTTACTCCACACATTTTTAGACACCGCACGGAGGACAGCGCTGAAGAAGGGGACAAGCGAGCTTGCAGACGCCCAGCAGGATGGACGCATTCAAGACTCTCGCGCACGACGGTTGTCATCTTGGTGTATTTGCTGATGATGACCAAGTTCACGCCCAGTGTGTAGGGCGTCGGCATGTTGCAGTACCAGCGGTCCCTGACGAGTGGCTGCGACAGCTCCCATGGTGAGCTGGTGCAGCGGGGCTGCCGTAGCTTAGCGTCAGAGGAAGACGGTTAACTCAAAGAGTAAAGGGGTTAACTCAACACCCTAATAAAGGTTAATAGGTCCTTAATATCCGAAGGCCCCTACTAACGATAACC